CCCAATATTTCCCCCACGATTTTTATTAATTAAAAAGGGGAAAACAGTAACTTTACACTGGAGAAATCTGGAAGATACCACCTCAACCACATGATCCAAGTTAATGTCATCATGGCAAGACATGTAGATGCCACGTGCCTCTTGCTGTACTCAGAGCTCTTATCAGGAACACTTTTCTGTCAAATACTTTTTCTGCACCCATTCCATACTATTTGGAAGCAGACCACACGTGACGTTTTCATCCATAAATATTTCAGTATTTAACTGTAAAAGTTATGGCTTCTTTTTTTTTAAAACATAAGTGGATACCACTGTCACACCTAGGGAAAATAACACCAGGAATAGTAGAGAATTCCTCAAACTCATAGTGGGCATCTGTGAAGAACCTACAGCTAACATCACCTCAGTGGTGGAAGACTAAATCTTTCCCACCAGGATCAGGGAAAAGGCAAGAATACCAGATTTCACCACTTCATTGCAAAACAGTCTTGAAGGTCCCAGGCAATTCAATAAGGTCCAGAAAAAGAAATGAAATCATGAAGCCTGTAAAGGAAGAAGTAACGCTGTCCCCACTTACAGGTGATACAATTATTTCCACAGCAAGTCCCAGGAAATCTATAAAACTACCACTAGGATTGATGAATTAAGCACAAGGTCATGGTTAGTACACAAAAATCAACAGTATTTTTACCCACTACCAGAAGGCAAATAGAACATAAAATTTAACACACAATCCCACTTATGGTAGTGCCAAAAGCATGAATGAGCTAGGAATAAACCTAACAAAAGGTTGTCCAAGACCTCCACACTGCAATGCCAGAGTTGCCAAGAGAAGTGTTGAAAGGCTTAAGTAAGTGCAAAGGTATACCATGTTCATGGATTGGAAGACTCAACAGTGATGGTAAATCTCTCCAAGATGACCTACAGATTCAATTCCTAACTAAACTGTGCAAAAATCAACAAGCTGATTCTAATATTTACATGGAAATGCAAAGGAGATGGAATAAACAAAGCAACATTTCAAAAGAAGAACAAAGATGGAGGACTGACTCTGTCTGATTCCAAAGCTTACCATAAAGCTGTGGTAACCAAGGTTTTGTACTGCCCAAAGGAGAGAGCCATGAATCAGCGGCACAGAACAGAGTCTAGAAATAAACCACCTGGTACACTGTCAACTGATCTTTCACAAGGGTGACAAGGAAATTCCACAGAGAAAGGACAGTTTCATCAACAAATGCTGCTGGAACTACTGGACGTCTGGCATGTAAAACAATAAACTTGAGCCCATACTTTGCACCACATGTAAAAATTTATTCAAAATGGATGAAAAGATGTAAATGTAAAACCCAAACTATAAAACTTCCAGAAAACATAGGAGAAAATCTTTGTGACCTTGAGTTAGGCAAACACGTCTTAGCATGCAAAAAACCCACAAACTATAACAAAAAAAAGGTGATAAACTGGACTTCTATCAAAACTTAAGATATCAGATCTTTAAAAGACAATGTCATGAGCACGAAGAGACAAGCCACAGACCAGAAGAAAACATACCTGATAAGGATAAATCACAATGATAAAGAATGCTCAAAATTCAATAATTAAAAAACAACCAGTTTTTAAAACCAGGCAAAAGACGATGAACATCATCAATTATTAGGAAAACTCTCATTAAAACCACAATGATACCACCACATGACTCAAACAGGACCAGCAAAAACAACCCAGTGAACATCACCTGCCAACAACGGGAGCCACGGGAGCAGTCCTGCACCGCTGCCTGCAGCGCCAAGTGGGGCGGTCCCTTTGGAAAACACCTTGGCAGCCTGTCTTCAAGCACAACCCAGCAATCCCACTCCCGGGTATTTACGCAGAAGGAAGGGAGATGTGTCCACACAAAAACCTCTGCGGGATGTTTACAACAGCTTCATTTACAGTTGCCAAAAATCGAGATCCACCCAAACATGTCTGTCATCTGGTAAACGAATGAGCGCACTGTGGTCCATCCTGCAATGATGCACTCCTCACGAATAAAAAGGAAAAACTATTGTTACATTTTTAAAAAATGTAAAATTCTAGAAAATGCAAAGTAATCCACAGTGGCAGAAAGCACGTTGGGCTGCCTGGGACAGAAGGGAGGGAGAGGTGGCCGAGAGAGGGCACAAGGAAACACAGGGGTGACTCCTCTGTACACTGGTACATGGGGACACCCACACATCCACGTCGGCCACTGTACACTTTCCACACGTGCAGTCTCCTGCACTTCAACCACACCTCGACTGTGTCATAATAAACCCTAACATGGAAAAGAAGAAAGTGAATGGAGGTACAGGTGAAACAAGAGCAGCTGAGAGTCGGTGAGTGCTGGGCTGGGTGGCTCATCACACCCACTGCCTACCTCTAGGCATGTCGTAAATCCTCCAGGATAAAAAGTAAAATAAGAGGAAAAACAAAATAGGTAACCACTGTCTTTGCCAGTGAACAGAACCCGCCTTCGGGGACACGAGGGAAGGAGGTGAAGTCGCCTGTGAGATGAGGACCAGGCCCGGCTAGACAGCTGCAAACCCAGTCCTGACGCCCCGCACTGCAGGGACACCCCCTCCCTGCAGAAAGGAAGCAGGTGGGGAGGCTGACCCGCCCCCGGAACTCACTCAGCTCCGGCTCCGGCTCCGGCTCCGGGGAGTGGGTGAGAACCCAGGCTGGCCGACTCAGCGCCCCCTGCTTAATCACACAGCCCCACTTCCTAACCAGCAGTCTTGTTTAAAACTAAACCATTATTTTTATGACATATTACACCATTAACAACAAAAAAAGTAGATCCCAAATTCTCAGCACCACCCCTGGACAGGCCCACCCTGCAAGACTCACACCCATGATTTCACTCAGTCTTCCAGACAATCCTGCAGGAGGCCCTGCTCAGACCCGAGAGCAGAGAAAACAATCTCAGGGAGTCTGAGGCCACTCAGCCACCAGGGGCAGGACGGGGCCTCACGTCACAGCCCAGACCCCAATCCTGACTCCTCCTTGGGGCACTGCCAGCCCGTCCGCCCCAGATTCAAGTGGATATAATGGCGTGTGGCCCAGGCAGTGGCTACAGAGCTAAGGATTTTAAGGAACAATGCAGCGGGATGCCAGGGCCACGGTCACACACGTGGAACATCTAAAGCCAAGAGCGGTCGCAGGATTCCACGCGTGGGCCCCCGAGGGCACTCTGGAGGCTGTCGCAGACCCTCAGGTCCCACGTGAGGAGACAGCCCACTAGAAACACAGCCGGCGGCCCTCCTCCCAGATCTCGCCCGGGTCAGCCTCCTGGGCACCCGGCCTCCTCTGCACAGCACGGGGCAGGCTCACAGAGGGAAGAGCAGCCCAAACCCAAAGGTCACACCAAACCCCACGGGAGAAGAGTAAAGCAAGGTGATGAGGCGAGACGGGGGGGGGGGTCCCTTGGGAAGCTGGCCACTCAGGATTTCCAGCCTCTTCCACAGGAAGCCAGCTCATGAAGCACCAAGACCTGTCCTGGGTCACACTCAGAGGACTTGACCCCTGACCCCACAGCCCCGCTTCCCAAGCCACCTCGATGCTGACGATGCTGACACAGATCAGCATGGAGGAATGGGGGAGCGCACAGCTGGGGGGCTGCTGGGAACTCAGGACTGGCCCACCCCGAGGCCCCGCCCCTGAGGCCCCGCCCCAGCAGGTGCCACACTCACCGGATGGTCTCGATGATTTCATGAGCAGCATCGTGGTGTTTGTCCTGAAAGACAATGGGACAGGGTTTAGAGCCGTCCCTCCACCCTCCGGTGATGGTGGCGACCAGAGGAGGCGGGTGCTGCAGCCCCCAGGACTCCCCGCCTCATTTCCCGACCCACGGGACCTACCAGAGAGCCCTACCCACAGCGCTGGGGCCATGTCCTGTCACGTGGGACACGCTGGCTTCGGGAGCGCCTGTTCCTGCAGCGCCCTGCCGCCCAGTGGGCTGCGGGGAAGGGACCGGGACGGAGTCTAAGCCCCTGACCCTCCTTCCCCAGGACTTTCCCCGGGCGCTCCTGCAGCCTGGAAGCCACAGGCCTGGCTCTGAATCCCTGAACCGCTGCAGGGCTCGGTTTCCATCTGTAAAATGGGGAAACACCAGTCGTGCAACCACCGGGAGCGGGCGAGCAGCGGTCCTCCCTCCCGGCCACAGCGGCGCTCTCCTGGCCCCACTGCGCCCGGCGGGCTGGCCTCGCCGCTTTTCCCGAGGAGCACGTCGGGGGTCGCTCTGGCCTTTCGCCGGGGTCGTGGCGGCCAGCTAACCCAAGACCGCGCAGAAACCAAGTGAGGACGACGCATCGTGTGTACGGTCTGTAACTCTAGACTGCACCTCTGCCCCGCCAGTGAAGGTTTCTATCGTGGTGAGGAGGGGCCTCGAAAAGGATGCACAGCGAGAGGAGGGGCCACTAAGAGCATGGGCTGAAGCCGGAGGTGAGATGGTCAGGCCCAGAGCTGCCAGCCCTGCCCCGGGACAGCGACTGCCCCTCTCAGCCCAGGCCACCATTTCCACGCTTCACAGAGGAGGACGGCAACGCGGGCAGAGCCCCTGCAGGTCAGGGTATGGATGCCCGTAAGGTCCCAGGACAGGGCCCCCCACGGCGCAGCGTTCCTAACAGGTCAAACAACTCCGGAAACACCCTTTGTGTCCTAAGCCTCATCTTTGCAACAGCAGCCCTACTGAGATATAATTCACACAGAATGGGCCCCCACTTCAAGTATACACTTCAGTGGGTTTTAATACATTCAGAGCTGTGCAACCATCACCTCTATCTAGTTCCAGAACATCCCATCACCCCATTAGCAGACGTACCCCAATCCCCTCCCCAGCCCCTGACAACACTAACCCACTCTCTGTTTCTGTGGATTTGCCAGTTCTGGACCTTTGTAAATAGAATTACGATATGTGACCTTTTGCCCAGAGTCTTATTTTTTAAGGCAAAGGAATAAAACCAATCCTCTATCGTTCTTAATAACATCCTCCGACTTACCAAGGATGGAGCAGTAAATATCCATTGAACTCATATTACTTAGACAAGGCCGGGGGCGGGAGATGGAGCATGTGCGGTCCAGCACAGGACAGCCCTGCAGACCAGTGGTTCCCGAGACGGGGGAAGCGACCCGCAGCTTCAGCGCCACTGCTGACCCAGAAACCCTTGGGAAGAACCACTGATCGGCCCCAAGGCCTCCTGGCAAACGTCAGAAAACAGTGAGGACAGCTGGGTTTGGAAAACAGTCTGGCAGCTCCTCAAAGGTTAAACAGTTAGCAAATGACCCAGCAATTCCTCTCCTGGTGTCTGCCCAAGAGAAATGAGAATATTTGTCCACACAAAACCCTGAACATTGGGTTTCCCTGGTGGCTGGTGGCACAGTGGTTAAGAATCCAGCTGCCAGTGCAGGGGACACAGGTTCGAGCCCTAGTCTGGTAAGATCCTACATGCTGCGGAGCAACGAAGCCCGTGCACCACAACTACTGAGCCTGCATGCTACAACTACTGAAGCCTGCGTGCCTAGAGCCTGTGCTCTGCAACAAGAGAAGCCACTGCAATGAGAAGCCCGCGCACTGCAAGAAAGAGTAGACCCCACTCACCACAACTAGAGAAAGCCCGTGCATAGCAACGAAGACCCAACGCGACCAAAAAAAAAAAAACCACACACAAAAAAACCCTGAACATTAATGTTCACAGAGGCGTGATTCACAACCGCCAAAAGGTGGAAACCACCCAAATGTCCATCAACAGATGAACAAATAAACAAATGTGTCCCTCCACACACTGAAATATTATCCATCCATGAAAAAGAGTGAAGCACTGACCCTCGCTACAACGTGGACAGACCCTGAGAACACGATGCTCAGTGAGAGAAGCCAGACAGAGGAGGACATACAGGTTGTGATTCCATTGATGGGAAATGTCCAGAACAGGCAGATCCACAGAGACAGAGAGTGGGTTCCTGGTTGTCAGGGGCTGTGGAGCGGGGTGGGAGGGATGCTAATGGGGATGGGGTTTCCTCTCGGGGTGATGGAACGTTCTAAAATTGGTAGTAGTGACGACTGCACTCAACGAATACACTACAAAGCAGGGAACAGCATGCTTTAGGTGGATGAGGTGAAGACTGTGGGAATTACACCTCAAAACAGCTATCAACAGCAACAACAAGAACAAAAGGGACTTCCCTGGCGGTCCAGTGGTTAGGACTCTGTGCTTTCACTGCCGAGGGCCCAGGTTCAATCCCTGGTCACAGAACTAAGATCCCACATGCTGCACGGTGCGGCAAAAACAAACAAAAAACCACAACAAAACCTACAGGAGGAAACGCACGGTATCGTTAGAAGCACCTCCGCCTCAGTAGGAAGATACTGAGCATCTCAGACACTCACACGGCCGACAGACTCTGTTCCTGGTCCCCAACATTCAGTGAGTCCACAAAGACAGTCCTGGCAGCCCTGAACTCCCTGGGCTCCTGGACCCACTGAAAGCAGAGAAGACGCCACGCTGTCCTGCAGGGTCTGCTCAGAGACAAACGCACACAGCACAGTGTACAAGATGCTGAGGTAGCCACAGGATGAGGAGGAGGGTCTAGAACTTTCCACCAACGCTCTCCCATGTCACACTCCTCCTGAGGGGGGCCGGCCCCCGTGCACTGAGGGGCCTCAGCAGCCCTGTGGGGCCCACGTGCAGAGGAGCCATGGGAGGGGCCTCCTGGAAGCCAGGCATTCCGCCCGGTCCAGCCTTCAGATGGGGCAGCCCCGGCTAAAGCCCCTACTGCAGCCTCCTGAGGGACCCTCGGCCGGAATCCCCTGGCCCGCCTGCTCTGAATCCCTGCCCTCAGAAACCACGGGAGGTCATCAGTGTGCATTGTCTCAAGCTGCTAAATTCATGTCTGCGTTTAGGCCGATACACTACCCTGCGAGCACGGCCAGTAAGAACAAGTCTTAGAGCCACAGGAGGACGTGGCAGCAGCCAGGAGAGTCTGATTCCAGTCACCACTGTGGAGTTACAAAACAGGGTGCGCGCTCTGAAAGGACCCCGTGAGCACGCGCGTGTGCCTGAGCGTGCGCCGCGTGGCAGCCCCGTGCCGGCTCGGACTGCGCTCCCTCCCTCGGCGCCCCCCAGGAGGCTGGACGCACCCCAGAGACGCTCCTCCTGCAGGGGCGGCAGGGGCCCTCATGGCACGCGGGCCGCAGCCCTGGCTGAGCCACCACGTCTCAGACCGAATCACGCAGACCTGGGAAGACAGGGGCCTGGAACGTGGTCTCATCTGTGATGAGATGAACTCAAGCTTTCCCAAGCTTTCAACTTTCAAACCAGAACGAAAGGAAGGAAACAGTTTATGATGTGCCTCCTACTATCTGAGGATGCTGCTTTAGGGACTGGCCAGCTTCCAGCGACCGTCCTGAGTCGTATGATTTAAGATGCCCTGATCACCATCGATGATTCAGAAGCTCTCACAGCTTCTCGGCTGTGGCCTCTTCTGCTTCACAGGCCTTCAGAACAGATCGACGCCAGAAGCCGACCCAGAAAGGTCCAACTGAGAACAGCCCTGAGGAAGCCCGCGCTTAGGAGCGCCCACACCTCCTTCCCTGGGGGAGCCCTGGAACTCCGGGGTTTGAGGCCAGCCCTGGCCTCGCTGCACGGGACGCCCGGCCTCCCCGTCCTAGCCACAGCCCCGGCCTGCTGCTGGCTGCTTGCTGAGTCAGTGACTAACCCAGGCTCTTCTCACTGACAGTCTCAGAGCCTCTGCAGGAAGCCGCGCAGAGGCTTAGCGGAATGCTGCTCAGCACAGAGCCGCGGCCTCACTGCAGGGTCCTGGGAAAGCAGCCGGAGTAAGCACAGCCGTTCCCGCCTGAAAAAGCACGCTGTGCGCAAGCCGGGGGCTGTCATCAGGCCTGAGCTGCCACCAAGCCCGTCCCGTCTGCTCCCCTCCCCTGCCCAGCTCAGGTGAGGGTGGGGGCCGCCCACGGGGCTGGGGAGTCTGGCTGTCCCACTCGGCAGGCCCCCTGCCTCCTCCTTGACCATGAGGACAGGTGTGGGAACAGGAACTCCACCCGGACGCCCGCAGGTCTGGTTCTGCCCCTGCTCATCCCCGCAGGCCCTGCACCCGGCGTGAGGAGCCTGGACAGGAGGCCTCCTGGGTGCTCACTGCCAGGGCACGGCCCACCCCTGAGCACGCAGGCTGGTTCACGGTGACAGGGGCATGACATCTGGAAACATCGTCCCTGGAGAACCCGGCGAGAGGCAGGGGGCAGAGACTAGGGAGGAGACAAGACGTGGACTCCGTCCTCCTCTTCCTACTTGCAGCAGGAAGACGCCGGGACCCAGGGGGCCTCCGAGGCAGGGGCATCACACCGGGACGAGCATCAGAATCCCTGGTCAGAGTGGAGTTCTGGGGCTCACCCGCCAAGTTTCAGAGTCAGCAGGTCTGGGCCCCAGGAACCTGCATTCCTAACCAGTTCCAGCTGGTGGGGAAGCTGCTGGCCCAGGGGCCCTGCTCAGAGAACCACCGGCCTGAAGCAAGCAGGGACCACACTCTGTATCACCGTCTGCTGGGGGCAGAAGTGCCCAGGAGGTGCCGAGGGGGAGCACCCTGGGACTCTGCCCGCAGTCCCCACTCCCCAGCAGGCTGCAGGGGGCACTGCCTGCGGGCTGGGGGTCACTGCCTTCTTCCCCGAGGCTCTGCACACCTCCGGAGACCTGGGGTGGAGGCCAAGGCAAGTGGGACAGAGCG